TTAAAGACTGGAGTTTCCAGATGGAAGCACTGTAGCATTATCGTACAAAAGCTAAGCAACATTTATCATGTGTGCATGCGCGCGCGCGCGCGTGTGTGTGTGTGTGTGTGTGTGTGTGTGATGGGCAATTTGCTTTTTTTTTTCCTTTTGGTACTGGCAATCGAACTTAGGACCTTGCGCTTGCCAGGTGAGTGTTTATGCCACTGAGCTATATCCCTATCCCCCAGGCAATTTGCATTTTTAAAATTATTATTATGTTTTAATTTACAGTAGTACTAGGGATTGAATCAAAGCCTTTGCACTGAGTTACACCCCAAACCCTTTATTAATTTGAGACAGGGTCTCACTAAGTAGTTCAGATTGGGCTCCAATTTGTGATCCTTTTGTCTCAGCCTCCCAGAAAGCAGGGATTACAGGAGTGTGTCACCACACCCAAGCATTGCCAAGCAATGCTTCTAAGAAGAGGAGCACAGAGGAACAGCATACACGTGTACCTGAGAGAGAGAAAGAGAGAGAAAGAGAGAGAGAGAGAAAGAGAAAGAGAGACACAGTGTGTGTGTGTGTGTATGTTATTTCTCTGGAATTTTCATTATCCCTAATCTCTATCACCTGGCATTTAAAGTCAGGACCCTAGTGAAACTACTGTCTCCAAGAGGACTGGTCACTAATTACTACATTAGCCAGCTCTACTCTGCCATTACTAACTCTTCTTTCATCTCCTTCTGGAAAAGACCCCATCATGGAAGTTCCATGGTTTTCCTCTTCCGTGACCTCCTTTTTGGCTGGCTCCTTGCTCTCCCCGCTGCCTCAGTGAACTGTAATAGGGTTCAAAGTAAAGAAGTGAGACTTGAGACAGACCACCCACTAGCAGAGTGATCTGGGGTGAGGTACCTCCCCTTTGGTGTTACTGTAAGAGAGATGGCACAGGTACCTGCACCCAATGCACATGGCTCTTGTGAGAACTGACATCACACACGTACAGTGCTTACTTGGGCCTTGCACAGAGCAAGCATTCAGTCTGTGCTGCCACTACTCCCACTGTGTGAGCACAGTCTTAGGCAGCTCTCAGGAAAAAGTCATTCAGACAACTGCAGGTGCACAGTGTGAAAACACACTCTCTGGAAGACAAGGCTGGAAGGATACATTGCAGTAAGTGCTTTTAGTAGAGCGGTAACTGTGTAGAAAGTGGTTTCTACTTTCTCTAGTCCTCTAATTTTCATCACAAGGCTATGCCGAAAACAAGAAAAAGCAGCTGCTGACCAGCCCCTGTGGACACTGGCAGAAAGACAGTGGAGAAACAGGAGAGAGATAGACAGGAGAAGTGCATGAGTTCAAAATCACAAGCTGCTCCAAGGCTTGGGAAAAAAACACAAATATGTAGAAAATCTCAAAACTATCCCAATGCCCTATATTTTCTCTGTGCTTAGATCCCTATTTCCAGGTAGGAACGGACTGGGAAAGATGGCTGTGGTCTGGAAAAGAAGTCAAAAGGTGCAAGAGAAACCAGAGACATAGTCTAAAGCATCCTCACATCAATCAGACCATATGTCAGCCCCCCTGGTAGAAAATGTCATTCCAATCAGAGACACACGCACAACAGACGCAGCAGGCACCTCCATCAAATGGCTGGACCACCACATTTGTATACTGCCTTCCCCTGCCTCAACAGTTGTTGGAACCAGACCTTAATGCCAGAGATGCCTGATGTGGGAGCCACCATTAGGCCACTTCCTAAGAGCTGTGTTCCCTTCTCCTCTGTAATCCTTGGCCACACCAGTGAAGCCTTGCTGGCAGCTTTGCACGGGGGTACATGATTTAAACTGGGGTATTGGACACGAGGGGCTGTGTGTCTGGGTTCTGGACAAACGGATACTCCTTTGTAAAAGGCCACACCCAAGAAGAAATTCTCCTTTCTGACTTTGAAAACAAGGAGAAAAGATGGCCAGACTGACAGTCATTTTGGTACCACAAGAAAAAGGACTCAAAAGATGAGAAGAGAGATAAGAAACCTCAGTTCTTAGCAATGATTAACTGATAACTTGCTACACCTGGCCTTAGGGAATAATAAACATGTTTATTGCTTAAGTCACTATTAGTTGAGTATTTTGTCACTTTTGAGCAAAAGCATCCTAAATTATTCAGCCAGCAATAAGTGAGCTGATTCCAGAACGGGGATATCTAAATGTAAATATCATGTGGGCATGGTAGTGCATGCCTGGAATCCCAGCAATTTAGGAGGGTGAGGCAGGAGGATCGCCAAGTTTAAGGCCAGTTTGGGCTACATATCAAGTTCAAATGCATCCTAAATTTCCCAACAAGACCTTGTCTCAAAATACCACAAACAAGAGCTCTGCGTGGTGGCATATGCCTATAATCTCAGCACTCAGGTGGGTCCCTGGGTGATACAATGATTTCAAGGCCAGCCAGAACTACATAGTGAATCTACACAGTGTCAAAACAAAAACAAAAACAAATGAAAAAATAAATATACACAGCTAGAAATCAGCAATAGTATGTATATGTGTGTATACATATTTTTTAATTCATTTTTATTTATTTATTTGTGTACCAGGAATCAAACTCAGGACCTCATGCTTACCAGGCAGGTGCTGTGTCACTGAGGTGTACCCCTGGACCACTCAGCAATAGTAGTACTGTAGTTCTGTCTTTTTTTTCCCTTTGGTACTGGAGGGTATCAAACTCATGACCTTGTGCTTACCAGGTAAGTGCTTGAGCTGCTGACCTAAATCCCCTTCCATGTCGCTCTTTCTTTACTAACAGTTGGATTTAAAAGACATACTAAATGAAAACTTTGAAATAATTCGTGATCTTCACATATGTATTAATATCTTCTCAGTTATGAGTACCAGTACCAAAAAGGCAGTTAAATATACAATAAACTCTTCTTTAAAAGCAAGAAAAATACAATCTATTTTGGTCTTTGGTAGGGGCAGTACTTTACATTCCAGCTTTTTTGCTCATTTTTGTTTTGAGACAGGGTCTGAGTTGCCCAGGCAGGGCTTAAAGTTGGGATCCTCCTGCCTCAGCCTCCTAAAGTGCTGAGATTACAAGGATGAGCCACCACACCTGGCTTTTTAAAAAACTATTTACTAGTCTGTATAAAAGGAATTTAAACAGATACAGGATAGTATTTAGTCTAAACTTTAATAGCAATAAAATGAAACATGTGAGTCAAAAGAGGTTAACATTAGACCTCCGAAAGCATCTCTTACTGAGGTTGCATTTTATCATGGAATTGCTGTAAAAGAAAACTAGTAACTGTGGGATAGTAAATATAAGCAAAATGGGATCTTGGAAAAAAATAAAACTAGAAGCAAAAGTTATTCCTATGCCCTCTGCATGTCTACATGCAAGAAACTCTGCCATCTCAACATATTTTCCTTACTGAAACTGTACCTTCAAGTTTGTGTTTATACCAACACTGTTGCTGTGGAAATAGTTGATTGGACATTATGAACTCACAGCTGAATAAAATAAGGCGTGGAACAAAAGTCTTATTTAAACAGTGGCAATACCATAAAACATTAAAAAGGCAAACTGAATGATGGTGAGTCAGAGCACCATATGTTTTAATATAAGGGTTATATTTTTTTCTGATGCCTGACACAAATAGGATGTTTTGTTGATTTAGTTCTATTTTTAGAAACCTATGATCATCTGGACTACTCCCCAAAGGGTCCTAAGTTTTGCTACCTATCTTTGTCTACAAATGGCTGGCTGCAGGTTATGAAACTGATCATGCTTAGCACAGACTTCCCAGTTTGGTGCTCACCAGAACATACGGAAATTATGTTCCCAGCAGTACCCAAGTCAAGATTTCAAAACACTTATGCACAAAATTGATTGCATTAAATGCAGGAGTATCAGCTTATTCATCATGTATCATAATTTCAGGAGTATAGCTGGGCTTCTGACTACAACTTTATGAACTCTCAAGTAGAAAGCTGCCACACAATGAGGACAAACACTCAGATCATCTTTATACCCCTAGCCCAGTTCCCTATCCTGCCAGGTCACCAAGCCTCTGATTTGGTCTGTTCTCTGATAGGTCAGTATGAGTTTCCAGGCAATGTTTTGTTTTGTTTTGTTTTGGTACCAGGGATTGAACTCATGACCTTGTGCTTGCCAGGCAGGCGCTTATGCCACTGAGCTAACCCTCCCGGCTCTCCAAGCAATGTTCTGAGACCAAAAGGTGTGCATTCATTATAACCCAACTGTGTGGTACTTCCCTGCTCTCGCTCGACTTGCCCTTCCCACTTTTCAACTGGAGACAGACAGACAGACACACACCATTCTTTTCCCCTGGTTTTCTGAACTTTTCAAATCATCACAAATATTTTTAGTATGCACAACATATTCAATAAGTTTTAAAAATAAGGGTCATGTGTAGGACTATTTAAAAACTGGACCTTCCCCCAGGGGAGACAGTAACAGTGAAGTGGCTCTGTAAATAGAAATCCAGCCTCTCCCCACCACGCCTGCTGCCCAGGGTGTGGCCGCCCTCTGCCTGCACAGGAGAGCGATTCATACTAGCAAAACCGGAAAAATCACAACTGAGAGTGACTGTGGAAGCAGTGAGAGCCAAGAAAGCAATGTAAGGAGTTGGATTTTCTACGCAGTGAGTCACAGGAAACGCTTGCCTTGTCAGAGGCATGGGTTGCCCACCTCCTCTGGTTCAGAACGTAGGTCAGTGCTCCTTGGGCTTGGTAATTAGGGGATCAGAGGCCACAGGCAAGAGCTGAAGGGCCAGAGGCAGGAGTTCAAATTCCTAGAAAAGCTGGGTAGCCCCTCCACTTGGCCCTCAGGCACCAGACTTGGCTTACTGTCCAATCAAGCTTCCAGTTCTACAGAGTAGGACGAATACAACTATGGAGTGCCTGGCTAGCTCTCCTTTCTATTCTCAACTTGGGCTCCTCTTGCACTCTCATCAGGGTATCCAGGATGATGGAGCAGGTTTATATAATGGATGGTTGACTCACCCAGCTCAGTTGACACCGGGGACCCAGACGCCATCTCACCAATCTTAGCCACTCCATCATAGTAGGCTTTTCCTGCCACGATCATAGCTAGACAAGAAAAGTAACACATGAAATCATCGCTTAGACAAGGAAAGGAGAAATGCACACAGGTCTCTCCTTGCCCCAAACATTGGTCAGTCTCTTGTTCTCTTTTACTGGCTGGACAACTATAGGCTGCTCTATTACAGTACTTTCCCTCAATTTATAAAATGACTATGTTCTTAAAAGTTAGATTTTAAAGGAAAACATAAAAACAAGGTATGAAAAGGCCACCGAATTCATATGTAAGTCCAGCAAAAGGAACAGCACTCTCATAACAAATTTATTTCAGCAATTATTGTAGTCTTAAAAACTAAGGGCTTTCACTGTATTTGAATATAAGCTTAAGAAATGTAATGCTCTGCTACATTATTTTATAAAACTATGGATACTCTTAAAAGTAAAATTATAAAAAGAACAGTAATAGCATTTATGTAGACTTTTCAGGTCATTATTTAATCTACCTGATAATGTTGGGTCAAGAGAGTTATCAGCCCCTGCTAAGGGAGTGGAGTGCAGATTTTGGGACATCCCCAAGGTCAGTGGAGAGACAGCAGCAGTGTACACAACTCCTGCTAGGGTGCCTTATTTTCTTAGTTCTAAAGTACAGTGCTTTTTGACTCTTTGGTTTCAGTAGGAACTGAAGAAAAAGTGACTCTGTCTCAAAACAGGATATGTAGCCAGTAAGCTGTCATGTTAATGTATGTATTTTGGAACGAAGATGTTATATTATAAAGTACTGATAAACTGAAAAGCAAATCAGTGGGAGAATGGCACGCAGGATTACACAATATTTAAACAAAAATTCTGGCTTGCATCTGCATATGGAATTGAAAATATTAGTTAATTGCTAATTTACATTAAAGCCATGTACCATGTAACCTTTCAGTCCTATAAAGTATCTTTGGCTTTATGATAAACCTAAGTTAATTTAAAAATTTTGTAACTTATCCAGAACACAAAATTATTATTTTCACAATTTCACAAAGGCACACATTAAAGATAGTTTCTGCAACTTATTGTAAGGAGTGAAGCAAATTAATTCTATTTTAGTGGTATTAACCTAGATTAATCTACATACATACCTGTACCAGATAATTTTTCCCAAAATAGTTTCATTGGTTTACTGTTCAAAAGCCTTCAATGGCCTCTACTGCCCATAGTATAAGCCCTCGTTCCCTAGAGTTCACTGTAGACTTTTACATTATATAATGATCTTCAATGAATCGCCCCTACCAGAATTCTCAGTCTGTGTCATTCCCATGTGATTTGGGTGGTTTGGTCATGTGACCTGCTTTGGCCAAAGTGCTATTAGCAAGTACAACTCTCACAGGGAGTTGGTAAATGCCAGGCATTAGGGTCCGCACCCTTGAGACAGCACTGCCATGGGGTTAGGATGTAGTATGGCCTCCTTAAAGGGAAGAGAGTATGCCTATTCTGTTCCCCAACCCTGAGACCAGCTAATTGAAGCAGAAGTGAGTTTCCAGGGGTGACGAACTGCCCTTTATAAGACAGATAATAAACTATGATCTGAAGTCACCAAGTTTAAGGAGTCTGTTGTGTAATAATAGATGATAGATATAGCATTCAAATGCTCATGTTTGCTGGCCCATTCCCACCTATCCTCCTTCGGCATCTCACCAGGTCAGTGTGGGTCCCAGGGGCTTGGCTGGAATGCTGTCTTTCCCATCAGAAGCAGTTTCTGCTAGCTGAAACCCAACATCTGTTGCCTAGCTCAGCATTTCCAGGGCCTCTTCCCTGCTCCAGTCCACACTAACCCCTACTACTCAGATTGCTATACACTGGTATAAACAACACTTCTAGCCATTCATATGTTGTCCAGCCTTCCAATGTAACTGCCAACTGCATCTGGCTGGCATCTTGAACTACACTCTAAATTCTTATAAATGTATCTGTTTCTCAGTGGCTTCAGCAAAACCATAACCAGATGATAGGCAGAAATTCTGGGAATACTTATGAAAGTGCAGAATAATCTCAGGAGGTGTTAAAGTGATAAGAACCCTTTTGGGAGAAGCCTTCTTAGCAAGAGGTTAAACTACAGGCAGCTCATTGACTTACCCTATTACTCTACCTCAGAGAGGCAGTGCTTGCTACAAAGAAAGCAATAGAGACAAAAAAAAAAAAAAAAAAAAAAAACAAGCAAACAAAAAGCCCACTGCAGGTCTTAGTGATTTCCTTCACAGGTACATCTATAGCAATGATTTGTGGCCTTGTGATGAAGCAATCACCAGGGGCGAGTCAGCAATGCCAGGCTTTTGCTCTCTGAAGGGGGAAGGCACCTGGAGAAGGCATTGACACTGCTGGAAGGGACCACAGTCCCAGACCTGCTGCTTTTCCGAACACCCAAAGCCTCAGGCAAAAAAACACAGTAATGCAGAAGAAAGTAAATAAGCAGTTTACTTTCCCAGTAACTACAATAAGACTGCCTGTCACCCAGAGCCCAGCCAGTATACCTCCCTGTCTTGGACAATACCTGTGCAGAGGGATGGTTCGAAGGCCAAGGGGGTTTTCAAACTATCAAAAAGAAGCAAGCAAAGGTAGGGTGTGATGGGACAGAAAAAGAAGAGGTAAGTAAAAGACATGAAACTTGATCTGAAGTCTTCTTTGGAGCTAAAGTGGATGGAACGTAATGTTCATTTGGTGGTCTTAGTGAATCAGGGTGGAGGGTGAACCTAGAGCTTGGGGGTGACACTGGCTACATAAGGAGAATTGTCAGAATTTAGCAACTGTTAGCATTTTAAGGTGATAACTAATGCACTGTAATAGTATTCACCTTTTTTGTAAGGAAATGGTGTGTTTACATATTATCTTCCTCATAGAAAATATCTCAAACTAGTGAACAACTCTGGCTCACAAAGACTGGCATATGTCAATACTCAAATTCATTTTACATGAAGCATTTATTATATTTTGAAATGAGAATCTTAAGTCCAACCGTTAGCTGTTTTCCACTCAGGATAAAAATACTTTTTCCTATGTTATTTTCAAAAACAGTGTGCCTAAAAGCAAGAAATTCTTCTATATAAATAAAAGGCAAATAATACCTGTGTACAGGACATTGACATACAAATGTTATCATTACACATTTACATAGGTTTTTAGTTTACTGATAATTTGGTTTAAAAAGTAGAAAATGTTTTTCGCAATGAAATAAGACTGAGCCACGTCAAAAAGCATAATTTGATAAGTTAAAATACATCTCTTACAGTAACCCACTATCGTTCTGTTCGCTCATTTCAAACACACTAATATCATTGTCTCCTATCATTACAAACTTCTGTAGATTAAATTTTAGCTAACTTCTACCATGTAAAGAAATGTTAAACATTCAATGTTAGGCATTTAAAATATGTAAAATATTTACTGAGTGACTTATGTGTGCTTTACATGAATCAATTCAGAAAGCAAAAGACTTACCATTAACAGCTTTTTCATAATTTTTTCCTAGGTTTATTAAATTTCTTAAGCCAGGATTGAACTGCTCCATAACATTCTGACAAACAAATACAGAAAACAAACAAATTAATAAACAATAGACCAAATAATCTTCAGATTTGTTACTCTATGGCCTAGAATTCCTATGCATGCTAACAGTATAGTCCACAAAGTCACACATGCCATTTAAAAATCATGTGAGGTGCATGCATTTACCCACCTGTCAAAAGCTGGCAGGTGAACATAACCCTGGCAGCTCTGTTGCCCACAGGCTGACAGAACCTAAATATAAATGGAGCCAGCAGCATATATTCACATCCCCATCACCTCCTGTGGGACTGTGAACCTTGAGGCCAAGGCACGCACACTCTTGGGTGTAAGCAGATTGTCATTCTTGTGCTTAGAAACAGGTGTGTGTGACCTAACTATCTTAACTTAATGTATAATTAAGGGCAATATTTTGGCTACTAAGTGAATAGAAACTTCTAAGAGATGTGCTTTCACTCTGTCGAGTCCGAAGTTCAGAAAACAAATCACTCCCATGGTGCTGACTTCATGACTGGGAACAAATGGTGACTGTGGGTATCTGTCCCATTAATGAATAATGAGCTATGCAGTCTTAATCAATCATCCCAAACACATGTCTCACTGCCTCTACTCCTCAAATGCATGCTGTCTATAATGATAAGGAGGTTAAGAATGAAAAAGTATCCAACACCCCAAAGGGGCAGATACTTTATACACATACCCTTCAGGAGAAAAAGGTTCTCCATTAGGATTGGCAGAGCACATGATGACTTACCGAACAATAAAAGGTTCACAGAGAAAAACGACCCAAATATCAACCTTCCCCATCCTTGTTCTTATTCCCAAGAATGTTTATAACCAACCTATTATTCCATTGATGCTTTTAAGTATTCTTGATTTCTTAATTTGGGAAACTACTGGCTTACTATTACACTACCTGAGGCTCTAGCTTAATACACCACTCACTTACCCTTCCTTGACCATTCCCGTATACAATAATTGGTATTTCCTTGTAAATCAATACTGTTTATTATGACATTCCAAATATTGGTCTAAATGCAATGTAAGGAATGTACTTTTACCTTTGTGTTTTGGTAAAGCCTTTTTGTTTCTCCTTCCTGTGCTCAGTTTCTATCTTAAATTCTTCACATGTTCTATCAGATCTAGCAGAGCTTATCAATATTATTTCTCAAATATACAAAGCTGTCAGCTAATCTATTCCATTTTTGCCCCCAGAACCTCCTTTAGGACTGTATGTCCTCTTGCTCGGTATGATCTGACTGTCTCTCAGTTTGCCACACGGTTGTCCTTGCGTGTCCCTCTCTGGTTGATTTAACACCTCCTATTAGCTGGATCCACATCTTCGTCTTTCTTATTGCCGCAGATCACTCTCCAAAAATGATCTACGAAATGATGCATTAAAGATAAATCTAATTCATGTCTGAATTTACCTTGATATTTGTTTGACATTTTGCTGAATAAAGAGATTGAAATATTTTCTTAGAATTTTTAAGACATTACTTCGCTCATTGGCTTTAACATCCCATTTTGCTGTTGAGGAGTCAGCTGGCCTCTTATTTGTATGTGGCTTTCCCCATTTTTAAAGTTTATTTTTTGAAAGCTATCTCTTATTCCTGTTCTGTAAAACTGAATACTGGTCTGCATAAGTATGGGTGTTTCTTCCATTTATTTTACTGGGCACTTGGTGGACCCTGGCCATGTGGAAAATCAGGCCCTTCAGGCCTGGAAAATGTTTCTGTTTCCCTTCTTATTCACTCTTTCTGGAACTATGATGAGGATTTTACCCATCAGATTTATTGCTTAACTTTTTAACTTTTCTCTGATTCACAGTCTGTGTTTATATCTCTATATACATTCCAATTATATTTATGCTTTTGATATATTTTTAATTTCTAAGACTGTTTTAAAGTTTCTTGATAACTCCTTTTAAAAAGTATCCTCCTAGCCAGACACATTAATTACTCAAGAAGCTGAGGGAGAAGGACTGCCAAGTTCAACTGCAGTCTGGGCAATTTAGCAAGATCCTGTCTCAAAGAAAGAAGGGACTTGGGTGTAGCTCAGTGGTAGAGTGCTTGCCTATTTTGCACAAGTGGGTGTGATTTTCAGTGCCAGGGAAACAACAACCAAAAGTCCTCACATTCCTGGGTTAGGAATACAGTATCTTGTCTTATAAGTATAAATTCTTAGATTGTAACTGCAGTATGTGTCATGTCTGAATATAAATTGTTGGTATTTTATTCTATTCCAGAACCCCATGTCATCTGATGACTTCTCCCCACTGTTTACTATCCTTCTTTCATGTTAAAGGTTTTCCTCAAACTCCTGGTGATCTTCAAGTCTCTCACCTGCCAGGCAGCGGGAGCTGATTGCTGCTGGCAGTGGCTGAGGTGGGACGGGAAGCCTGGGGGACCAATCACCTTGTATATCGACTCCTATTCCAGCCCTGTGTCCCTTTGTTCACATGTGTGCACACATGTGCATGCACATACTCCCCAGTACTTTGTAGGTTCTTCAGACTGCTTGTACGCCAGCTACTGCTCTTCTGTCAACTTTTTAGTATCAAAAATTTCTTCAGGTCTTCTGTCAACTGTTTCATTCTCAGGTGTCTGCCTTACAGATTTATAGGGTTTTTGAGTTGTTTTAATTCCTCTGCCATCATCTTGGTGTATTCTCAAAACAAAGAGAAGAAAGCACATGAGGTAAACTGCCCGGCCTAACTGATGTCTTCACATCATGTATTACCAGAGCAGTGGCTGTCCTCGACTTGTGTACTACCAAAGTGTGCTAAGCCTGCTCCATCCTTTGCAAGATGGCAAAGTCCCAGTCAATACCCAATCACTGAATACTTAGAGCCAGAGCTCCTATTTTTGGGGGTGTACCGGGAATTGAACTCATGACCTTGCACTTGTGCCACTGAGCTGCTGAGCAACACTCCTGGCCCCTCACAGCTCCTATTTCTGTCTTCCCAATTCCTTTGGCTCTTATTTTATTTTAAAATAGTTTAAGACACAAGTAACTGTGTAAATCATAGTGTCCCAGCATCTCCAATAATCTCTTCTACAACTGCAGTAAATTTTCAAACCATGAAATGGACATTGGTTCAATACTATTCACTAAACCACAGATCTTATTTGAATTTTACCAGAGCTTGTATCATTCATTTGAGGAGGGGTGGATAGAGAATTACTTCTCTGAAATTTTATCACATGTAGTTGGTACCCCTGTTACCTCAATTATAATACAAGACTTACTCTGTCAACACAAAGATCTCCCTTGTACACCTTCCATCTAGTTAGTCACCTCCAGCAACTGGTAAGATCCATCTTCAATTCTGTTCTGAGAATGTTATATAAATGAATTATGCAGTACCTGTTTTTGTTTTGTTTTGTTTTGTAAGAATGTTGCACTGAGCTACATTCCTAGCCCTTTTTATCTTGAGATAGGGTTTCAGTAAGTTGTCCAGGATGGGCTTGAACTTGTAACCCTCCTCCTCAGTCTCCCAGAGTGCTAGAGTTACAGGGATGCATCACCATGCCTAGCTCTGTATCTGACCTTAAAGGGTAGCTTTTTCACTTGGCACAATGCCCTTAAAAATGGATCCAAGTTGCTGGGTGCTTTAGTAGTTTATTCCTTTTAGTTTTTGTCAGCAGTATGAATGTATCACAGGGTGCTTATCAGCTACACAATGAAGAACATTTGGATTATGTCAAAAGTTTTTGGCTATTCTAAACTAAATTGATATGAACAATCATGTGCAAGCTTTTGTATGAACATAAGCTTTCATATCTATAGAATAAGTAAATACCCAGGAGTTCAACTGCTGCGTCATAGAGTAGGTGTATGTTTAACTTTATAAGATAGAAACTGCCAGACTTATTTCTAGAATGGCTCTATTATTTTACCTTCCCATTTGGCAATCTGGAAGACTTCAATAATTTTTCAAATCTATTAATTTCATTAGCAAATCATCATTTTCTAATTAAAAGATGGATCTTAGTGATATCGTGTTTAAAATTACTGTAATACTCTTCGAGGCTGTGTTAAATGATAAAAATAAAAGAAAACCAATTCTGTACTCTCTCTGCCCTATAGCAAACAACCAGTCATGGAAAGAAGCCTAGAGCTTTTCTTCCTTAAGCACACTCCCTTATTGAAATCAAGGGAAAATAATTTGATTTGAAAATAATTTGATATAACCCTTAAAATGTTCATATATTAACAGTTAAAAATACCAACAGCAATGAACATTAAACATAAATTACTATCCAAATGATTGTGCTGAAAAGCAAAGTTTAACTAAGACTTAAGACTAAAACCAGCTTCACAGAAGAGAGTTCTAGGCTTGAAAAGGTCAACATTTATAGTTCAATTCTTTGTTATTTAGCTTTAGCTACAAAATTTTTCCCCTTAGAAGTTTTGGTCCCCTTAACCAGTGGAAAATCCATTTCTATACTGGCTTTTGGGCATTAATCTAGTTATTTTAGCTAAAGTACACATTATTTTTAAATCGAGAAACAAAAAAGTAATGTAGCTTTTGTATCCCAAAATCTGTGAAGTGTTTCAAGAGCAGGAGATGCGCCTGTGTTTTTGGAGAACAAATTACACTGCCATCTCTCTAAGCCTTAGTCTCTTCCTCTATAAAACAAGAATAATAATAGTTTTCACGTTGTAAGGGGTAGAAGTAAAGGTGAAAAATCTTTCTTTTCTTTTTGGTGGTGGTGGTGCTGCTGCTGGGGTTGGAACCCAGAGCCTTGCTCATGTTAGGCAAACACTACCGCTGAGCTAGGCTCCTAGCCCTATGGAGCACCTTCTGTGTGTTCTTCAAAGCTCTCATCACTGAGCACACACTGAGCCAATTGTAGCTAACGCTACAAGAGAAAACTTCTAAAATATCAGCCAATCTTCAAATACATAAAGACTCCTATTTACACACTAATCTCTAGGTACATCTATTTACTAAAAATCAATCTAGGTACATCTATTTATAAAAATCAATGCTATCAGCTGTCT